CCCACCCTCAGTTTGTAAGAGGAGCTTTGATCGTTTGCCCCACAAAATGATGCTTCAATTCTTCTTCTTCACTCATGGGGACTGCGGAGTGGGCGGGACATTGTAAAATACATGGTCGGATATCTGCCACCTTCGCGCTTCAGCCTTGTCTACCTTTGCCAAGGCGCTGCAACCAATTTCACGCGTTGCTGTTCCGTCAAGTGGCAGCAGCCCCTGCAGCCGGTTCGGCAAACAAATGACACATGGGCTGTGTTCCCATTTGATGTCTTGTGTGGATTCGTGGTCAGTATGTGATCTGGTGGCCGCAAGATAAGCTTGCAGATGGACTTCACTGGCTTGGTGGATTGTTTTGCAATACTGCTTCGAGCTGTATGTAGCGCTGGACTAGCGCGTTCGAGTGGCCGGGATGCTGGCACGATTATTCGGGACCCCTGCAAACCAACCACGTCCCGTCACGCATTTTCTGGCGCGTCGCAGCAACCAGTACCCCACCCGCGCTTTCCCCCCAAGCCACGCCTCCCCGAATCACCCTCCTCTGTGCACCCAGATCAGTAACGGCGCTAGCGCCTGTCGCGTCCAGCTACAAAAGCCCACGGCCACCCCCCGATCTCCCTCTCCAACACCATCTCTTCCACTTTTCACATCCACCAGCTGTCCCAACAACGATTAACTGCACCCGCCCAATCGCATCCATCTGATTCTTTCAACGAATTTCAAATCATCCACACAGTCCATCAAAATGCCCCCCAAGGCCGCCGACAAGAAGCCCGCCAGCAAGGCCCCCGCTACTGCCTCCAAGGCTCCTGAGAAGAAGGATGCCGGCAAGAAGACCGCTGCCAGCGGTGACAAGAAGAAGCGCACCAAGACTCGCAAGGAGACATACTCTTCTTACATCTACAAGGGTTCGTAGTAGTCGATACCTCCCCTTCCCTTCGGCCCATCGCGTTCTCACCGCGTGTTGTGCGCCCGGTCCGCTTTTCTCCACGCGTCTGCTCTAACACCGATTTCAGTCCTCAAGCAGGTCCACCCCGACACTGGTATCTCGAACCGTGCCATGTCCATCCTGAACTCTTTCGTCAACGGTAAGCTCCAGACCCCAACCGTGACGTCTGCGGACCTAATATTTCATTAGACATTTTCGAGCGTGTCGCCACCGAAGCCAGCAAGCTTGCCGCCTACAACAAGAAGTCCACCATCTCCTCCAGGGAGATTCAGACCTCGTGAGTTACACTCTATGCTTCCGGTCAACGCTTGTTCTAAACATAACCAGTGTTCGCCTTATTCTCCCCGGTGAGCTGGCCAAGCACGCCGTTTCTGAGGGCACCAAGGCCGTCACCAAGTACTCCTCGTCCACGAAATAAGCGACTTGTTCGCAGTGTTTTTCTTTTCGGGCATTGGATTTGCTTGACACTGGGTGTCTTGAGTTGAGACCCGTCAATCGATTCAGCTTGGCTTTGGGTCTCTTAATGCGTTACGGATGGTCTGCTTTTTTGGGGGCAATGTCTTCACGGTCAATCGGGGTTCGCGGCTGTACTATACCTTGAGAATAGGGTTTCGGACGAAATGAAATCGTGCATATGATTTTCATCAACACCAGACTCGCGCCTCTGCACGCCAGTGTATGCTTTCTGCCATTGACTAACTTTACAGGATGCTTGGTATGTCGATCTCGGCTTCGTGTAGTGTCGAATCGACCGGGATCAGCCCAGGCCGGCCTTGCCTCTTTTAACCTTTTGCTCGACAGGTTGCAGGATACCCTTGTTATCCATAGACCCCAAGGCTGTTCCTGTACTCCAGCCCATCTTCTCCAACATAGCGCGACCGCGGTTTTCTTGACCCAGTTCCGGAGCGGAACCTCCAACGACCTCGCCATCACGATAGCCTGTATCCGGCTGACCACCACCACCACGACGTGCGGATCCCCGACCGCCACCCCATCGCGAGCCCAGATCCTTACGAGGGAAGTATTTGCGGCCCACACGACCAATGGCTTGGTCAAAATTGTCCGCTGAATACTGCAAGGTTCTGGCCGTTCTGTACAGGGTAGGCCGGCGTTGGTCGCCGGATCCCGTCGACTTGGACTTGATGTTGAACTTGTTGGCCAACTCGTGCAACACCTTCCTGGCGTGGTTGTCCATTGGAGGCAGTGCCAAGCTTTTGAGTTCAAAAAGGTTAGCTGAGGACATGGGTGTAGGTTATCGGTGGCACACTCACCTTGCCTGACTATTCTTTAAGAAGTTTTCAAGTTCTTGGGCAATCTGCTCGATGCCCATACCTTGCGGATACTTGACACGTAAGTCCTCCGGTTTGCTCTTCTTGCCGAGTAAGCCTTGCGCGCGTAACTTTTCGCGCTCTTTCTTTCTCTCGGCTTTTTTGAGTCTGTCGTTGTTGTATGTAGACTGCAGGACAGCCTCGAGTTCAGAATCCGATACGTTGAACACCGGGAGCTTCCCCTTTTTCGGTTTACGTGTGCGCTTGGTGATTGGATCGCCCCATTCCATGAAATCAAGATCATCGTATTCGTCATCTTGCGAGCTGTATGCATCGGTTGCCTCGCCCGAAGCAAGCAGTTTGGCAAGAAGAAAGTCGCTATCGGTCAACCTTGTATGTGGCTCATGCTGCTTGAATTCGTGATCCATAGCGTCAAGATCGTCAATGGATTTCGAGGACCCGGGTAGGGAAGCAGCATCTCCACTCAGCCCTGACTTATCATCATCCTGCGCTGAATGCAAGCCGTTCTCCACGTGCATGTCCATGTCCGAACCGCCAATATCACGTTTTGCATGACCTTGACTCGTGATCAAGCCCAGATCATCGCCATTTTCGCGCATGTTGGCAATGTAATCGGCCAGTATTGCTTCCTGTTCCTTACTGGTATCCTCTGTTTGTCTTGTGTCGCCATTCGCTCTCACCTTATGTTTCTGACTTTTTTTCCTGTTCTTACTAGGCAAGTTTGGCGAGGGTACTTGAGTTCCCACTGCCGCAGGCCACGAACATTGGGATCCGTAACAAGCTGGTGTACCTCTTTTTGAATGTCCCTGAGATCGAAAGCCTTCTTTTGCTGCTTCGCATGTGGCCTATTTGGCTTCTGTGGGACGATTTGACGACTCTTTGGCCCCATTTTGTTACGTCCCCTGAACAAGATGACCTCGTCGCTCGAATCGCCACTCGACTCTAGTGTGGGTAGCTGCCGAGTATCTTCGGGTACACTTTTCTGACGGCGGTGTGAGGGATCTCTGTTGGTGTCGATGAAGAAAGTCAATGGACTTGATGGGGGCTCAGTCGGTGCGACAGCAACTTCATTGGCCTCGGCAGACGCAAGGTTATCTTTGAGCGCAGTTGAATTGAATACTGGAGACGCTGGCCTGCTGCGCTGGGACGCATAATCCTCTTCGGCATGATCTGACGTGGATCGCAAGCCCTCCCAGGGGCCGGCTGATGGAATATCAAACGTCGGGCACTGGACAACCATGGGAGTCATATGATCAGATACTATGTCGGCTTGTTGGGGGGGTGACATCTAGCATGGACGTGGGTGCCTGGCGCGACAGGCCATACAGAGCATCATTGGGCTTGGATGTAGATCTCTTTCCAGGCGTGGAGCTGGTCTCTAGCTGTTGAGAGGATCGACAGCCCCCGCACTTCACAAAGTTGACGGGCTGGTTGCGAAGCCGAGTGCAGCACTCAGGGAGTATGTCCATGAGCTGTTGATCGAGCCTCATCGGCTAGTGAGAAGACCGTCGGAGCTAGATAGGTCTTAGTCGTTGGCATACAAGTTCGATAAGCCGGGATATCATTCGATGTCGCACATCGCTACTCACTGTATGATGGCTGAGTTGCATACGACTGAGCATCTGCGAGGCCCCGAGAGGAGGGGTTGCGGCCTGCACCGCCTCTACTCGAGCCTCTATGACCGCCACCTTTAAAACCTGGTCGTGGCATGCTGATTTATGAACAATGAGAGTTCGGGGTGGCCACGGTTCTTCGTACAAGTTTCATGGACTGGGAGAAAAAGGTCCCGTGTGGCAAACCCATGCGCAGATGGAACCCACTTTATACGAGTTTGGGTAAACGAGCTTAAAAAGCAAGGGTTACGAGCGGAATGATGATGATAATGACCGTAAGATCACAATTTAGTCGTCCTCGCAATGACATGGACCCCCGATGTTTCAAGGACAGGTATAATTGATTAGGTAAACGCACGAGGTAGGCAGAGCCTGACTGGAGTCGAGGCAGAAAGAAGACTGGGGCCCACCGACTACATGTACAGCATCATATACTGGTGTAGGGGCTTAGGTAGACGTGTTATTTTAGCAGGCGCCATGGCTCGACCTGACTCTGATCTACTGAGGTAGGTAAGGTGCGTTAGGCGTATTATCGAATGATACGGTGCAAGCAAAAGATTCATCTACAGGACATTTTGTATCCTTGAGCAAGGATTTGACGATATCATACAAGACTTCCCCTACAGTATCAAAATTCATAGATTGCAATCAAAGTCACCAGGCCGACTCGAACATGTGATCTGACTAGTGACTAAAGCGCGTTAATCCAGGTCGCTAAATGAGTACAATTGCCATCAAGCCTTACGGGCCTATGAACCTTCGTGTTGTTCCAATACCTCTCTCTAGGTACCTGCCCATATGGCAAAGTAGAAAACAATCACGTGTGTACAGTGTGAACAAACACCGGCACGCGGCGTCCAAGCGCGACCCAATCATTGTCTTATCTTATCTCACCCCTCAACTGCGTCACAGGATCAGGCAGCTCGGAAGCTGAACGTGATGTTGATTCTACCTGGATGCATCTCCTGGCCATCCCACGGATGAGCCTTTCTCCCCGAGGAAACACACTATACCGCCACCGCAAATGCGGCAGTGTTGACTTTCAAATAGTCGCTAGTGCAGATACTTGTCATCTGTCTGACAACGAAAGTTCTAGCCCCCAAGTGCACAACAAGACACAGCCTTCTACAACCGATCGCCCATACTCTCGACACATATAGCGGTCCTCGGGCGAACATGGAATCAAATATACCCGGGGTTGACATGGGTCGTTATCGCCGCATAGTGCAGATGTTCTGGGACCCTGAGCCTTGCAATGACCAGGTTGACGATCAACCTGCGTGGTGTCTGGGCAACTCGTATACCTTGAACCCGAAGGACAGTCGAACAAGACTAGAGACCGGTCATGCTACCTCGCACCTGGTAGCAGACAGAGAAGCGCAAACGAAACACGGAGATACAGTAGTTCCAGGAAATGCCCCGGAAACTCCACCGGAGTCGCAAACGAGCAGCTTCTCTTCTTCTTCTCTCGCTTACGAAGAGGCCATGAATCAAGACGGAGGGTGGCCGTCAGCGTTCTTGGATGATTTTGAATCTAAGTTTTGGATGACATACAGATCCGACTTTGAGCCTATTGCAAAGTCTACTGATCCTCGTGCAACATCAGTCCTCTCGTTATCAATGCGGATCAAGAGCCAGTTCATGGATCAAGCCGGATACTCATCTGACACTGGATGGGGTTGCATGATTCGATCAGGACAAAGCCTGTTAGCCAATGCCATGGCTGTTTTAGACCTTGGTAGAGGTATTCGTGCATTCTCCCTTCTGCTCAGACATATCTAACGATCAACTATAGATTGGCGTCGCGGGTGTCGTACCAGAGAAAGAGCGACAGCTACTGTCCAAATTCGCCGATGATCCGAAAGCACCCTATTCGATCCATCGTTTCGTACAACATGGCGCGGTCGCGTGTGGGAAATATCCTGGGGAGTGGTTTGGCCCTTCAGCTACAGCCCGATGCATCAAGTAAGCTACCCAGCCTGTAGAACCCACGAACCAGGTTCACCTCTAACACTGACACTCTCCCACAGAGCCTTGGTCAATGCGACTGAGACCCATCTTCGAGTGTATTCAACTGGCGATGGACCGGATGTATATGAAGATAGGTTCTTGGACATCGCAAAGCCCAGCGGGGAAACATTCCATCCAACTCTCATCCTTGTTGGGACACGGCTCGGCATTGACAAAATCACACCTGTATATTGGGACGCGCTCATTGCAGCCTTGCAGATGCCGCAATCAATTGGCATTGCCGGGTAAGTGAGCACCTCGGTGGTGGATAATATTCTAAATCTCTTGCAGCGGGCGACCTTCATCGTCGCACTATTTTATCGGAGCACAGGGCTCTTTTCTTTTCTACCTCGATCCCCATCACACCAGGACCGCACTACCATATCACCAGGATCCTACCCTGTACGCACAGGTGGACGTGGATTCTGTCCACACTCGCCGGCTTCGCCGACTACACGTCCGAGAGATGGATCCCAGCATGCTGATCGGTTTCGTCATCCATGATGAGGACGACTGGGATGAATGGAAGCGAAATGTCAAGCACGTCCAGGGCAAGGCCGTCATCCACGTAGCAGACTATGATCCTGTCCATCACGGAGCAGCCGGGGGTCGTGCGGGTGCCATCGATGAAGTCGAGCTGCTGAGCGATGACGACGAAGGCATTGTTTCGGGGGCCTGAATGGTCCTGCTGTCCACACAACAGTAGTACGATGAAGTGGTAGCATATCAATGGTGTGTCTCTTGGGCGTTAGGTCGAGCCGAGGATATTCATGGATTGACGCATCTAAAGATAAGCATGCGGTGGTGTTTATGGAGTGGGTCTCGGGTCTGCTTTTATGGAGTTGTATGATCTATCCATCAATATTACTGTGGTTCCTTTCGATTGATTCCTATTTGGTGTGAAGGTCCTTTCACCGCAGCATGGTGGTTCATCGCTTCTTTTTCCGCGTCTTCGTGTTGGGTATGCCTGTGGTTTTCGGCGCGGCATGATCTTCATCACGTATGTGGCTTGACAGTTTTGTTTTGGATGGAAATGTCTCATGGCACACACCGCAAAGATGTTGTGGCTAGAACAAATGGTTAGATTCGAGATCCAGGTTCCCACTCAACGATCAGAGTTCTCAAGCACATACCTCTTCAAGTTGTGCAGCGGCCTCACGTGCCGCCTTTTTCTCCCGCTTGGCTTTCGCCTTGCCTGGTTTCTTGGCAGGTATGTCGAGGTGATTCCTTTCATCCACACTAAAACCACTACCTTTGTCTGTGTTTAGTATGTAGTTGCCATCCAGCCCATCTTTAGTGTCTCCGACGCCCGCAATTCTTCCCTCAACGACAGCACGAGATGCGTACTCGTCATCGTCGTCATCGTCACCGTCGTCGTCGTCAGTATTCGATACGTTGTCGACATAGTCACCATCTGTGGACAATACTGCTGTCTTGGACTCCCCGCCTCCAGCCACGTGTAAGTGCGTCTGCACATCGTGTACGTCGAGCCCGTCGACAGACCTCACCTCCTCATCCCCAGAGTGAACCATTTGGTCGCCGCCGTCCCTGAGGTCTGCTGCAGTCTCACCCGAGGTCCCTGGAAGA